GTATAAAGTTTTAGTTCTGCAAGATGAAAAAGTTCTGGAGATTGGCTGCACAACGTGTATATACTTAATACTGCTAAACTGTTTGGTTACGAAGGCAGACATGGTGATGCACACCTGTAATCCCAGCACTCAGAGGCTGAGGCAGAAGGACCACCATGAGTTCCAGGCCAGCCTGAGCTATATAGTGAGTTCAAGGCAAGCCTGGGCTGCACAGAAGGCCTCTCTCAACCCCTCTTCAAGTGGTTATGAATATCTCCAGATATTTTTTCATATAGATATGTATATACACTTAAGAGTAAGAACATACTGTACTATAATCTGCCTTTTACACCTAACATATGAACCATATGAAGCAAATATCTTTCTACTATATATAGCTCCCACCTAATTCTTTTTTTAATGGCTGAGGTATCCATCAGATGGCTGCACCATAATAGAACCAGTCTGTTTTCAGTTTTTCAATACGTAAAATCACCACAGTGAGTATCTTTGCATACTTTTTCATGACATCTTACTACAGAGACTAGTTCTTACCTCCCCCTTTCTGGTATCAATATCTAATTTCCCCACAGAAAAACTACCTCTTCTTCATCCTAATACCCATCCTGTCCTCTCACTCTCAATCTTAGGCAACTCTTAGTCTATGTGGCAAGGCTTGGCATATTTATTTTTCAGTTTATTTCTAAGTGTCCTTCATGCTGCTATTGCCATTTCTTCTACAATTACATTTGCTATTATTGCTTGCATAAAGCTATTGCTTTTGGGGGAGGGCAAGGGCATGTAAACAGAAACAAGATGTGTTATGTTCATGTACCAACTCCCCATGATGAATACAATCATTATGTACTGCAAACATGTACTAACAATTTTTTTTAATAAAGTTATTGCTTTTTGGAGCTGCAGGGCCTAACTCAGTGGTAGAATATACACTTAGCATGCTTGAGGCCCTCCCCAGCACCAAAGAGAAGAAGAGGAAGAAGAGGAGGAGAGAAGAAGGGAAGGGTAGTAGCTGTGATTAGGGCAAGAAGGAAGAGGAGAAGGAAGCAGTCATTGCTTTTTCTCTGTGTTATAGCTGCTTGTTCACTTAACCTTATTACATGTAAATGTTTTAAACTTAATTCTCTTCCATTTTCTCAGCATATAATCACATCATAGATAGAAAATTTTATTTTCTAGGTAGTGATTAAATCTAAAAGCTCTGGGCTCAGACAGTCAAAATACAAGATTCATATATAGTTTGATTTGGGGTAAACATTTGTACCTTAGTTTTCTAACCCATCAACCAAGGAAAATAGGGTTTATCCGGGCCTACAACACATTTATTGGTTCAATAAATGCCTGATATCTACCAATAATAAATGCTCTTTTTTTTTTTTTTTTTTTTTGAGACAGGCTCTCTCTTATGTAGCCCAGGCTGGCCTCAAACTCATGGTAGTCATCCTGCCTCAGCCTCCCACATACAGGTGTGCCATTATGCCTAGCATCTGCCAATAATGAAAATGTGACTTGCTACGTCACTAAATTGCTTAGGCTGGGCTTGAACTTTGCAATCCTCCTGGCTTAGCCTCCTCTAGTGCTGGGACTACAGGCATGTGCCACCATAGCTGGCTGAAAATGTGACTCTGCACATGTACACCTTCTGCTGCATTATAGTGGTTTTGTTGGGTTACCTCTGCCCCTACTTCTCCTAAAAGTAGAAGCCATCAGACTATTAAAGGACTTGTGCTGTGAAGCTTATCCACCCCCACCCTCTCAGGAAAGTTGTGTTATCCATTTTCCCCTTCAGCTCCTGCATCTTCGTAGCCTTTACACTGGCTCTATGCCAACAGCATCTAAGCTCTCCATCAGGCTTTATTCCTCAATCGCTCTCCACCTTCTTTCTCCCTCCTTTCACAGCCAAACTTCTTTGAGCTGCCTACACTTTGTCTTTCTCACATCCCACTCTTACCTCATCCCACTGATACATTACATTGAACCTTCGGAAGCTGCCGATATTATAGATTCCGCCTCCACCTTTTCACCAAATCTGCTCAATGAAGTCCCTAGTGACCTCTCTTATTTATTCAGAGGACACATTTTAAATCTCACTTAGCTCACTGACATCTCAGCAGCATTAGCAAAGCTGACCTCTTCCCTTGTCTTTTATTACTACACTCTCCTGTGCTCCATCCTACTTCTTGGGCCATTTCTTCTGGGGATAGCCTAAATGAATGGCTCTTCCAAGAATATGCCATGTAGTAGCCTGAATTATCTGGGCCTTTAAAAAAATTCTCTCTGGATGGATGTCTTTCAGTGTCAATCTCTAAGTTCCAGCTGCAGTAGACCTTCATCTCCATGAATGCACACTAATACTGGATGTGTTTGCAATAGGATCCTCTTATCATCTTCCCCCAGATACAACTGACTCCTCTCACTACTCCCCCAGGACTTTCTATCCACATCTTCCCCGAACTTCCAAACCAGGCTGCATCCGCTTTTTTTTTTTTTTTTTTTGGTTTTTTTCTGGTACCAGGAATCAAACTCACAACCTTGCGCTTGCCAGGCAAGGCACTGTGCCACTGAGCTAAATCCCCAGCCCCTTGCATCTGCTTTAACATGAGCCCCTTTCACAATTCTCATCACACTTACAACCACTTGTTTGATGCACGCTTTCTTCACTGTATCTCCTTAAGGAACTAATTTTCTTACTACAGTATTTACACAGTGCCTGGCACATAACTGATACTTGCTATTGTGTGGCTATGGTTTGAGTATGTTCCCCGAAAGCTTATGTTTTGAAATTCAATCTCCACTGTAAAACATTAAGAGGGTGAAGACTTAACCGGAATATGGCTTTTAGAAGTGGGGCCTTTGGGATGAGATCAGGATTACATAAAGTCATCAGCATGGAATACCCATGACTGAACAGTGGTGGTGTGTCTGTTTGTTTGTTTGTTTGTTTTACGGCACTGAAGACTGAACCCAGGGCCTTTACAATGAGCTATCTTCCGAATCCTTTTTTTATTTTGAGATAGGGCTTCACTGAGTCACTAAGCTGCCCAGGCGGGGCTCGAACTTGTGAACTTTCTGCCACAGCCTCCCACAATGCTGGGATTACGGGTTTGCACCACTACACCTGGCCTTGGACACTGGTGCTTTCAGCCAGGCATGGTGGCCCACACCTGTAATCCTATCTACTCTAGAGGCTGAGGCAAGAGGATTCTAAATTCATGGTTAGCCTAGACAACTCAGTAAGATCCTCTCTCAAATTTTCAAATATTAATTAAAGCAAGAAGAGAGAGGAATATTCAGTGATAAAGTATTTGTCTAGCATGAGTGAGGTTCTAGGTACAATCTCCAGTACTGCAGAAGGAAAGAAAAAGAGAAGGAAGAAGAGAAAGAGAAAGAAGAAGGAAGAGGCAGAGAGAGACCAGAAAAGACACATTTGTGTTCCCTGTGTGCTGCCATGTGTAAGGCACGTTAAGTCTGCTAATGAGACCACTATCAGACCTGAGCCCTTGAATCTCCAATATTGTGCACTAAATAAACCTTGTTTCTCTATAAAGTTGCTCAGTTTCAGATATTTGTTATAATAATGAAAAATAGTCTAAAACAATATTCAATAACTATTTTTCAAATTACCATAAATGAATGGCTGCAAAGTTAAAAATAGATGGGAGGAGGGATGAGACCAAGGGGGTGTACCAAAAATATCTGCTCTTGCAGAATCCACACATACACCCAACCCCTCCTGATTAAAACCCTGGAGATGATAATGTTAAGCGAAATAAACCAGACATTCAAGCTTAAACATAACATAGTTTCTCTTATACAAGAAACTCAAATCATAAATAAAGAACAAAATAAAAGATAGATATGAAGTAAAGAGACAGATCTTTCTCTAAGGGGGAGGGGATGAAGAGATGGAGGGAGAGGAGAAGGAAACGGGATGAAAAAAGAATTAAAATGCGTACACGCGTCAACTCCACAAAAGGTAAACACTATTAAAAACATACATTAATTTGAAAAAAAGCCTTTGATGGCTTCCTCCACCCTCAAAATAAAGTCCAAATTCCCAAAACTAACCCCAAAAAAATTTTTAAGGGGGCCAGTTGCTTAACTCTGAAATACCAACTAGCCAGAGTCCACCTCTCAGATTCTTGTCTCCAACCAACCTGAAATCCCTACAGATCCCCAGAGAACCCTGCTCTCTCTCCCCAGGGCTGTGCCCACGCTGCTCTCTGCCTAAACACTGTTCATTTCGCCAGTCTTATCTTCGGGCCAATACAAAGGCCCCCGTCGGGTCTCATTTTCTAAGTCACCTTCTTTGGAATACCAAGCTCGTCTCTGAAAATCTTGATCAGCTGCTTTCTCTATGTATTCACAGTGCTCTCTAGATCCAAAACCATAGTTCAAATCGCAGTGGATTCCTGTTTATGGATCTGTGTCCATATGACGGAAGGCAAAATGTCTCATTCACTTTTTTACCCCTGGCGATAAGCCCAGGCCCTGGACAAATGTTCAATGATGGTCCTTGTAATAGTAGTAGCAATAAAACTCCCAAGCACTGGGGACTTACCTGCACGGATTTCACACACAAATTTACTTTGTAATAACCTTATAACACAGGTGCTACCACTATCCCCATTTTGATGGTGAAAAAACTGACACACAAAGAAGTGAGATCTCCGTGGCCTCGGAAGAGTCGCACACGCACACATTTTCTGCAGTTTCGAGTTATTCCCCGACACCCAAATAGGAAGGGCTTTGGAAAAAGAAACTTTTGAATGAGGCCAAGGAAACCGCAAAAATACAATCAACAGCGTAAAACACCTTCCGCCCAAATGCGGGGCTGGGGCAAAGGGCAAAGGAGACACCACTCCCAGCGCCACCTGGTGACAAAGGTCCGGCCCCTGCGTTCTTCCCCGGGGTCTCCCGCGGCCCAGCCCCTCGTCCGTGGCGAAATGTCGACGCCAGTCGGGGCGCGTCTGGGCCGCCAGTGCCCGCTGGCCCCTGCTCACCTGCCGTCTCACCGCCTCGCCTTCTCGCCGCGCCGGCGCTCGGCGCCTCCCGGGGGCCGCCTGGCGCCCGCAACCCGCAGCCGAGCTGTTGCCTTGGCGACCTGAGCTGCCGAACTCCCGCGGCGCTCGCGCTACGGCGGCTCAGATGGGACCAGGAGGATTTGCGGCCCCTTCCGCAGCCCGGGTACAGGCAGAGCAGGAGCGAGGGATGGAGTCTGGGTTCTGAGCGCTGGGGGATCGGTGGTTGCGTTCGACAGCCTGGAACTTGGCTCGGGGAGAGTGGGAAAAGAAGGACAGCGAGGCCAGCAGGAGGACTTGTGTCTCCTTGTGCCTCAATTTCTCTCTTATAACCGGAGAAGGGGAAAGTTAGGGGAGGATCGGGGCCTTCAGGCTGAAGCTTGCTACAATGGGAATGTTTCAAGACTGGAAAATTGATGTGCGAGGGATGGCGGATTCGTCGTATAATCTGGAGTGTTGTGGCTGGGAGTCAATAAACTTGTTTCTTTGGGTGAGAATTCAACCACCAGAATTAATTTCTCTCGTCTTTTTTTTCTTTTTCTTTTTTTTTTTTTTGTCCTTTTGAGGCAGGGTCTCTATGCAGTTCAGGCTGGCCTTGAGCTCACTTTGTAGCCCAGGCTGGTCTCGAATTTGCAGCAATCCTCCTTCCTCAGCCTCCCAAGTGCTGGGATTACAGGCATGTGCCACCACGCCCGGCCAGAATTAATTTCAATGAGGGAAATAATTTAATTTGTGATCAATGCTTACACTTGTAAGAATAACCCTACAGATCTGCTGGAACCTGACCTCAAAGGTATTCCTTACCACTGTTTGTAAAAGCAAAAGGGCTGGGACCAGCCAAAGTGTCCATCAGTGGTGGACTGAGTAAATAAATTATGATACATCTATAAAATAGATTACTGGGACAGGGCCCAAAATAGTTCAGGCTGTAGATAGAGTTTGGGTTTGGTTTGGTTTTTTGTTTTTACTGCACTGGGGATTGAACCTAGGGCCTTGGCACTGAGCTACATCCCAGCCTCTTTTTAAAATTATTTTGAGACAGCCTGTGCTAAATTGCCCAGGCTGGACTCCAATTTGTACCCCTCCTGCTTTAGTCTCCTAGAGTGCTGGAATTACAAGCCTGTGTCACCATTCTGGGTTGTTGATACAGTTTAGATACAGTGCTATCTTGAAGCCATGTATATAATAATAGTACTTTTTTATTTTTTATTTGGAGGAGGTTACTGGGTATCAAACCCAGGAGTGCTCTCCAAATGAGCTATATTTCCATCTCCGTAAATTGCCCAGCCCTGCTTTTGCTTCCGTTCTTAATCCCAGCATCCCCCTGTCTATAAGCACTCCAATCAGCAGCCAGAATAATCCTTTTAAGAATGTAAATACTGGGGCTGGGGATTTAGCACAGCGGCACAGCGCCTGCCTGGCAAGCACGAGGTTGTGAGTTCAATTCCTGGTACCAGAAAAAAAAAAAACCAAAAAAAAGAATGTAAATACTGGTGGCCTATGCCTATAATCCCAGTACTCAGGAGGCTGAGGCAGGAGGATCGTTGTGAGTTCGAGACCATCCTGGGCTACAAAGTGAGCTCAAGGCCAGCCTAAACTGCATAACGAGACCCTGTCTAAAAAAGACAAAAAAATAAAATAAATTAAATTAAATTAAAAATAAATAAATAAAAATAAAAATGTAAATACAAGCCAGGTGTGGTAACTCATGCCTATAATCTCAGCATTTGGGAGGCTCAGGAAGGATGATCACTGCCTATTCAAGGCCAGCCTATGCTACATAGTAAATTCAAGGCCAGCCTGAACTACATACCAGACCCCGTCTCAAAAAAACAAAAAAGTACAGCCAGATGTGTTGATTGATATCTATTGACAATTTAGAGACATCCTGTCTCAAAACAAAATAAAAAGGGGCTGGAGATGTAAATGAGCATTCTTTGGTTTTGATCTCAAAACATTCTTTGAGATCAAACATCTCCAGCACCGAAACGTTAATTAAGTAGAAATATAATCCTGTTCTTCTCAAAGCCCTTCAGTGGCTCTGCATTTAGAAATACAGTAAAGTTACAGTTCATGTTGTAGTCAGCCAGCCCCTAAGTGAAAGGCCCCTAGGATAGAGATCCAACTATATCTTTTACCATTTTCCCTTTTGTCTGTGCTTCAGCCACACTGGCCTTGAGGTTTGTGTTTTGTTTTTTTTGTGTGTGTGTTGCTGAGGCAGAAATCTAGAGCTTCACAGGGGCAGAACACCAGTTGGTTCCCTGCCCTGCTTTGTGGTTTTTAAACCCTGGGCATTTTTCCCGCAGGGCCTTTACCTTTGCTGTTCTGTGTGGGACCACTTCCTCCAAATATCCCTAAGGCTGGTTTCCTTTCTTCCTGCCTCTGCTCCTGTGTCTCATCCCCCAAAGACCTGTCCTATAACCAGAATCCTAGGCTGAAGGGCTGCTCTGGGATGTCCACTTGTCCTAAAAAGCAAACGGAAGATGTAATGATGAAGCAGGAAAGGAATTTAATCTATGTAGCTAAATTGGAAAGAGAAGGGTGACCAGGTGTCCTTAGTCCTTTGTTCGGGGATACTGATACTGAGTTTTAGGTTTAAATAGAAAAAAAACTGAGGTGGGGGTGAGAGGTATGCATCATATTTACACTCTTGGTGAAACTGAGCTGGTTGATCATCTTGAGGCAGGATAGAGGAAATAAAAGGTACAAAGGAGACAAGCAAATAACTAAAAATTGTACTTTAAGGAATACTGCAACTTTTGGGCCTCAGCCAGTGTTACCCAAGGTGATCCATGTGAGCTTCCCTTGGTTAAATGTAGGCTCTTGCCCTAGCAGATCCATCTCACCAAAAATTCCTCAAAAACACCAAAAGTCTATAAATCGGCTTGACAAAGAAAAGAACAGGAAGCTGATCCTAAGATAAAAGAGCAGGTTGAGCAAACCCAAAGAATGTTTAAATTACCTATTATTTTAAAAGCCCATACCTGTGGAATAGGCTACTACCCTTCTGGGGGTGGACCACTCCCAGAGTGGTCCTGGGCTTTCCAGCCCTTCCAGAGAAGCAGAAAATGTTCCCAGTTCCGAACTGTAACATCCCTCATTTCTCTGGCCACCTGCACTCGACTCTTAAGTGGGTCCTAAACCCTTTCCATGACTCTTACTGACCATCCTGAAAATTCTTTCTCAGAGGCAGGAGTCAGTGAACCTATTACAAAGGGTGGTTTAAATCAAATTCCTTACTTTAGCTTCTGGATTCTCAGACCCAGCTCAATGACAGTCTTGTTTCTGGTTCTGTGAAGTGCCTCCAGAGAAGTCCTTATTCCTTGAGGGGTGATCTGATTTCCGTGAGAAGATTGCTCCTGTTTAGAGGGGCAGCCTCAGTTCCTGGCTTGGGGTAATTGTTCCCTCTTAGCAGGACGACCTCATCATGCAGTGATCTGTCTGCCAGACTCTGTTATTCCTGGAATGCAAGCTGACTGCAGTTTTAGGGCAAGGACTGAGGACTTCTAGGGACCACTCCAGGGAATCTGGAACAAGCTGTTGTAAGAGCTGGCAACTGAGTGTCCCTGCAAACACCTTGAAAATACCTTAGTTACTGTTATCCCTCTTCAGCCTTCAAGGGGAGTAAGATAGGTTGGGTAAATTTTGGGTCATTAAACCAGACTGATTAATTGATTAATTGATTTTATTTAGAGTGGGTCCCTAATTCCCTAAAGTGCCCAGGCTGGACTTGAACTTGTGCTCCTCCTGTCTCAGCCTCCAAGAGAGCTGGTATTATAAACAGTTAAGTTAGATAGAAATATTGTAAACAGTCAGACCCAGCTAGGCCCTTGAAGCAGTCAGTGCAGAAGATGAGAACACATTACAACTGTGGCTGGAGGTGTATTCATTGAAAGCCAGGCCTCAGGATAAAGAGAGAGCGACTAGACCTACATACCTCCCTGAAGGATAAGCAATATACTATAATTGGTATCACCTGGTCCAATGACGTCCAGACATCAGTCACCCAGGTGGGTGACCAGGACCTCCTGACTCATCTCTTCCATTTCTTCCTTGTTCTTTCCATGTATACTTGCTATGTGACCTACTTCCCCATTGGATCAATTTACCTAAGCAGCTATACTTGTAATCTAATTGGTGGATCACAGGTTTGTCCCACATTGTACCCACCTAGGGATTTTGCTCTATAAAACTTCCTTTGAGAAATGGTCTCATTGGCAACCCACTTTCTGGGTCCCCTCCCATCTCTCAGGAGCTGTCTTTAATTCAATAAAATTTCCTGCTCTTAACCTTCATTCCTTCTTTGATTTGGGGGAATATGAACCTGGAGTTTTGCACATCCAGCAGGTTGAAAGTTGCATTTATTTTATTTCCCTTTATCACTTGGATCCTGTATCACTGGGATCATAGGCATACACCACCACGCCTCGCTGGAATAAGTTCTTAGATAGATACTCCTAAAGTGATTAACACCTCTCTGTGTGAAGCTGAGTAGGAACCTGACTCAAACTTTAAGGTAATAAAAGGAGACAGATGCAAAAGGAAGGTGGAGATGCCAAGATTTTTCCTGCTTTTAGTTGCCCATTGAGCATCTGTAGGCCCAAATGAAGAGTCAGGAATTTTTACCAAAAGCTGCCTTTAAGCCCCCGTTATAGTCCCACAAACTCTATTCTCCTGAGTCTCTTTTTTTCCTCCGCTAATTTTACATCTACTGTCATATTGCGTACTTGTTTATTGCTTGTCTCCTTTCCCTAGGGCAGAATGCCTATCATTTAAGGACAGGCATTTTGTTTTGTTTCCTACTATTTTCTCATCACTGGGAGGGTGAGTGCCTGGCATATAGTTAAGAGTGTGGTAAATATTTATTGAATGAATAAAAGCAAGGCACAGCACCACACATTTGGAATGCTACCACATGTGAAAAGGAGAGATAGATACTACATATAATGCCAGCATATGTGCATAACAACCTAGGAGAGCTGGGAGACCGGGTGCTGGTAAAAAGGGACAAAAGGGGACAAGGGATATAGCTGAGTGGCACAGTGCCTGCCTGGCAAGCACAAGGTCGTGAGTTCGATTCTCAGTACCAAAAAAAAAGG